TTTTCATGTAAAATTGTCCACTAATTCCAAAAATTCGTCAAAAGTTATGAAAGTAAAACAGTTTTTGAGATATCCCATGGTTAACCATTGTTTAAGTGAATAAGCAGCCACTAATGACTGTATAGTCATTAGTGGCTCAGCCACTGTGGCTGCTTGCAGAATATATTATTGTTTAATACCAATGAGGTTTCAAAGAAAAACATAAGTAAACAAAATCTCGGCAATTGCTTTATTGCCCTAGAATTTTATAAAAAAAAATGGTGTACCACTGTAAAATAATATTTTTTAAATTTGCTTTTCATTAAAAAAAAACTCCCCCTTGTGTTTTCATCGTATACTTTTCCGTTTTCTCGTAATTAAACATTTGTAAATGCGTTTTCCACAGTCTATGCAGGTAAATTAACGTAACAGGAACATAATAATTAAGTTTTATTTTAGGTAAGATAACAAGAAAAGACCAGTCCCACCTTCATATTTAAATAAAAATAATTGAGGTTATCTAATAATTAAAAAAATGATGTATTAACAATACATTACACTAAGTTAGCGTCATACTAAAACACAATTTAAAATAAAATCTTAAACTTCTTGTACTGAATACGACACCTTGTCTACAAGTAATTATCATTCAACATAACATTTGATTCCCCAGTAATCTACACTTTGCTGGATGATTTTTAAACCACATCTGAGTATAAGCAAATAGCTAAATGTAGGGTTCTGAGTGTGAATGTACAATTCAGTGAGATAATTTCTAACAAATTTTAGAGAATATATAAACACTGGATAGGGTAAGTATCAGTTCATTTCTTTGCAAAACGATTCTACAACATTCATGCATGACCCTTAAAGCCCAGCTTAAAGCTTTATTTTGAAAAATAAAAATACAATTAGCTTTATTACACAAACACCAAAATATAATACAATAAGACACATGACTGGAGAAGTGTGGCATAAAATTTTATTCTTTTACAATATATGTATAGCAATGGAAAATTTATAACAAAATACATCAATATGCCTGTCCCAAAGAAGCCTGTGGTTTAGATAAACACCCAAGAATTTTACCACATTAATGTCATTTTCAGTGATGAACTTCATCGTTTGTGTTTTATACTCATTTAAAACTAAATTGCTACTCTCCATTCAAAGCTTGGTTCTTGGCAGTACAGTGTCTCCGTTGCAACTTGATCGATGTGTTTGTTACTCTTGGATTTGACTAGAAATGAAGTGTCATCCTCAAAGACACTTGCTTTAAAGGTTTTCGTAGGAATATAATAAATAAAATTGGTCAACGTATTTAACCTTGAACTTAATGGACAACAATGTTTTTTAACGAAACATCCTCCATCCATTTTACATTTAATTAGTCCTCCAACGAACATGAACAAGGTTAGAATAACATCGATGTTTTCTTAAAGTTGTCATGTGCATGTGATATAGTGACATAGTATAATGTTAAATAAAAGTTTTTATTCAAAATAATCCATAATACGATTTTTTCCGTTGGAAATGGCAGGATATGGGTCTAAATGTGAACCCTTAAAAATCAGTTTTTTTAAGTAGCCTCCTTCTTGCATATATAATTATTATTACCAATATTTTATTATTGCTAATATTTTATTATTGCTAATATTTTGTTTACTTGGTTTATATAAAATATTTAATTTATATATGGGGATGAACTGCCCTACCTGCCTATCCTGACGGGCCGCCACTGGTTTTGTTGGTCTCCCCTTTTTATTTTGCAAATCTTACCAGATTCCACCACTTTTTTTACAAGTGCATTTTCTTCAAACCTAACTGTATATCCGTACCATCACAACTGTTGTTTCTCAATGTCTTCCCTAAGTTCTTCTTGTTCTAAATATTGTCTTATGTTTATGTTTATCCTTATTCAAATAATAAAATGTAAATGGAAGTGTTTTACTATTTTATTTATGTTTTTTTTAAATTAACAATTGTTTTGCTACACAGTAGCTTCTTCAGATTAATGTAATTTTTTATTAAGTTGCGGTATTTATATTAGCTAATGCAGGTATTTATAAAAATATATAAACATTATACCTGAGGGCATTAATTAAACTTAATTAAACAATTTTGGTACTTTCCTAAAACAAATTAAGCAAAGGAGAGTTGTTCGTTTCAATTTGGTTCCGATTTTTTCTTTAGATTATTAATTTAGAAAAACTCCCTAAGATTTGGTGCCTTTATTGGCTAAGTGTAAGATTCTAAAGTTATCGTCAAATTTACGGTTCTCGTTTAAGGTTTATATAATATTTCTTGTGTTTTTTAATTCGTGTAATAAGGTTTCTTCCAATTTGGCCTACATATGTTTTCGGACAGTCTCTGCAAGTTAGTTGGTAAACGCCAGGATTTTGAGGTTTTGTTGTTTTGTCTTTGCTATTTTTACTAAGGTTGTTGTTAGTTTTAAATGGAACATTATTCTTTATTTTATTAAAGAAATTAGATACGTCTCATTAAAGTACCTAGATATGTACTTGTTATATGTATTTATGGGGTTTTTGGATATTGTTAAAAGGGTATTTATAGCTATTTTTGGTTTTTTGTGATTTAATATTTTGTAAATTAATTATGCATCATTGCCGTTGTTAACTGCTATTTGTTTAATTAAATTTAATTCGTAATTATAATCTATTTCTGATGGTGAAACTTTTAAGAGTCCATGGACCATAGACCAATTTTGTGTGAAAATGGGTGAGAAGAACTTTATAAATAACAACATCTGTGTAGCTGGGTTTATAAAAAAAATTAAATGTGTGGTGTCTATTCTTTTTTTGGATTGTTAGATCCAAATAATAGAGTTATTTATTTTTTAAAACGGTAACCGTTCTAGACTGACCTGTAAACTCACCGGACATTAATCCTATTGAGAATTTGTAGGCTATATATGCAAGGCTAGGTTACTGAAAATGAATTCTACAACAAAAACTAGGATGATTGAGGCTGTCATTCAGGTATGGTTTTGAGATGACAAAATAAAGGAAAATTGCAAAACATTGATTAATTCTATGCCAAAACGAGTTAAAGCTTTAATAAAGGCCAAAAGGGGGGGCATATTCCCTATTAAATAATACTAAAATATTTATAAACTAATACTCTTTGTATTTTTTTTCAATAAATAATATTTAACGTAAATCTATCCGTGTTCACATTAATTCCCACAATACTGTAGCTAATACAGCAAATACAAGTATTAATTTGTACTATGCTGGAAAGAAAGACCTAAGCAAAAAGACTTAAATAAGAACAATAGCAGATATAGTCCAAATATACTCGAAATAGTCAAAATTCTACTTTTTGAATTAGAACCAGCATTTTTTACTAATAAAATAGTCGTTTTCAATTTTAAATTTTTTACTACGTAAATAGTTAAAGTTTGACTAATTTAAGATTAGTCACCATCTTTGACTATATGAGAGTTAAAAGTATAGCTATTTACATACCATGGGAGGAAAATATAACCTCAAAATTTGGGCAGGCATCAATATGTTTCGATATACACATGCAGGAATCTCACACTTTCTGCCCTTGTAGTGTAATATACTATTTCCTCCCGGGGAGGAAAAGTGGCATTTTCCTCCCTCGCTCGGGGGTGGAAAATTAAGTTTTCTAGTAAGGTAGTACAAAAAATAATTTCCTTAATCGTGTGCGGCCAACAACAAAGTATTATGTGAGTTAAATGGATATAGGCTCCATGGTTAAATGACCCATAAAAACAAACAAAGATGCAAAAAGTTTAGCTCAAAACAGCAACACAAATAATTTTTTCATTTATTATATCACGAGAACTATGAATTTATTCGGTTAAACTAGGCTCAGTAGTTTTTTGTTTGGTTTTTGTTGGAAAATGTTGAATGCAAAATAGTTTAATAAAATCACGAGACCACGTAGCGGTCGAGGGGTTTTATTTTTAATTATTTTGCATAAAAATATTTTCCAAAAAGAAAAATCAAATAAAAAACTTACTGAGCATAGTTTGACAGATTAAATTTATAGGTTGAGTGATATACGTCTAGATTATTTCTCGAATTAAAGGAAACTATTTGACAATTCATAAAATCTGACGTATGTGTCAAAATTTATAAATATTTTTTAAAGAAAATTCCATTAATTTAAGGTATGTAATAAGTAATAATTGATATTTCGTAAACTAGATAACTTATTTTTTATTGTTTTTTTAAAAAATGTTTGTTAAAACTTGTAAATAACACCATAAAATCGTAAACAAAAATCCAATTTGGAGGCTAAAATTTAATCGCTGTTAAATAGTTCTAGTGATTTAATCGTTTATTTAAACGAAATTTATTCTAAAATTCAAGGCTTTTGATTGGTTCATATTATAATGAGGGAAATAATCATTTTTAAAATATTATGTACAATATTTATTGTAATAAAATTTTGACTGATAGCCACATTAGTTATGACAACAGCTTGACAAGCTTGACAAGTGACAGACCTGAGTTTAATCCCCGGCTGGGTCAAAACTTTTTAAAATTTAAATCTACTAATTTTACTATTTCATTCAGTAGAATTTGACTAATTATTAGTGACAGCTTTTTCGCTATGACAATTAGTCAAATATGACTTATAATAAGTTATTTTTGACTAATTTATTTTAACTAACTAAATAAGGTAAAATTTAGATTTTACATAATTTTACTTCAAACTGGGCCTTAACTTTTATTTTATGCATAAACATGTTAATTCAACATAAAACTCAACAACAATACTTTGAGCTCAAAAATATTCATAATAAACTTTAAACTTAAAAATCGCGTAAATTTGACCAAATGTTATATAGAATCCCCCATAAACTAAGTATAACATTCGGTCGCAGCAGCGTAGAAAGAATTATCATCTTAGAAGGCTTCGGCACATCCTCGTCCTTTTATACGTCGTACATCAGGGGTGGCCTTACGCAACCGTGGAGGCGCAGCCCGTCCGAAAGGACCGGAGGAGTCAGTTCAGCTTCAGCTTCAGCTTCAGCCTAGAATACGGTTTACATCGCATCCAGACATCGGCACGCTACCAAACAATGCACAGGTACGCCCACTATCGCGCTCCGGAAAACTGAACCGTCATAAAATTAAAATGTGAATTAAAACTTCTGGAACTCTTGACTAATATAAAAAACGTGCGTTTTTTAATAATCGAAACTCTTAAACATGCAAAGTTTTGCGTTGAATTAGGTGATCAAGTTTAATGACAAACAATCCTTCGGTGTCGGGCAAAATGTTTCCACGTGGTGTCGTAGTTTACATTATCGGATTGCTGTTTATAGGTAAACATTTTTTCATTACATATTTTCGTTTTTGTTTACACACAGTTTGATGCTTCCTTTTTTATTCTTTAATAAAAAATTTAAAGCTACATTTTTTTATAAGTGTTTTCACTGGGTAGGCATATCGGTTTTTCTTTTGTATTTTATACTCGACACCCCATTTACTTTTGTGCCCTTATATTTGTGTTATTTTATTATATACTGCAGGGTTTTTTTTCTAAATTTCTTTATAAAGATAATTTAAATTGAAAATTATTTAATATTATCATTGGTTTGCCGTCAAAATTATAATGTTTTATCCACTTTTAAATAATGTTTACCTATGCTTTTTATCATTCTTTGTTTAAAAAGCTTCATACAGTTCACAAGTGATAAATAGGGTTGGGATTTTAGTTATTTTACCTTTTTTCAACCGATGTAACTATTTGAAAACCAATAATGCCAAAATGTGCTTTAAAAGATTTTTTTGTTTTCACCTTTTTTACCTTTTTGGAGGTTTTTGCTTTATACTACCTTTTTTATACTTTTGTTACCTATTTTTTTAACTTGTTTTCACCTTTTCTACCTTTTTTGGAGGTTTTTGCTTTAAACTACCTTTTTATACTTTTGTTACATATTTTTTAATTTGTCAGTTTATTTTCACCTATTTTTTACCTATTATTACGTATTTTTACTTATTTTATTTTTTTGTGTTCTTTTTAAATTTTGCGCCAATATTTTATCCAGGGCGTGCTACTCAACGGTATAGAATTTTTTCTTATGGTCACAGACTGTAACAGTAACTTTCTTTACAGTTACCTTCTTTGTAGTGAGTTTATGTTCTGTCATAGAACTTCTGTGTAGTGAGTGTCACTCAGTGAAACACAGTTTATTGCATAGAAATAGTTTATTGAGGGTATGTTCTGTGTTTGGGTATGCGGCTAAACAAAATTATAAACGAAACGTGAACGTTTAATGTTTTTTTTTACCTAAAATGCTTTTTTAGTACCTTTTTAGTTACCTATTTTTCAGTGTTTAGTACCTAAATATCCCATCTTATCTCTCTGATAAACAATTGTAATAAAACAATGTAAATAAGAAATGTTTGCCATTTTAAAATGGTTTAGTATTTAAAAAATAAAAAATACCAAACCATACCATAAAGTAAGGACCACCGTAATGTATTGTTTTTAGAAATGAAACAGTAAAAATTTCTATTGACATGATTGCAACTCTTTAAAAAGTATTTTTTTTGTTAGAAACAAATAAAACATCCCTTATATTTTTAAACATACAGTCTTATTTGAATGCAAAAATCCTAGTGGCCAGAAATATAACAATTTTTTTTCTGTCAAAAGGTTTGATTTTTAATTTTGTTTATCTCTTCAAATAAAATTTTAGAGAAGTGTACATTGACAATCAATTAAATTAATAGATGTCTATATAAAGAGTGCCAAGAGGGCAGTGTCAACTTAAAAATTTCAAAAGAAAAGGGGGCGCTTGTGATACTTCATTTGAAAGGAATTTCGATTCTTTATTAAAAGCATATCTAAAATCTGTTCAATGGTTATTACGATATTAAACGTTTAAATCAATTTTATTTTATTTACCAAGTACAAGGTTTGCATTTATAAAGTACAATAAATTTACAATTATTCCTCAAATTAGATGTTCAAAATGCTCCCCTTAGACATTTTGAGACAAAAATAGTCTAAAAATAGTCTGTTTCTAATGTAAGGTCTTACACGGAAAAAATCTGCACTATATTAAAGAATAGTAGCGTTTGCCCAAAAATATACTCGTTTCACTATTCCACAAGAAAACATAATATTTGATTCTAATATAGCCCATTCTTAAGAATTTAAGTAAGTTACACTTATATTAAGATTAAAAAAAATTGTTTTAAGATTAAGCATCTTATTTAAAAACTACTAATACTACTCTAAAGTATTTTTTATTTTTGTTTCAAAAATATTGTAGCTTTAATGTAAACAATACTTTTACTGAAAATAGTTTACATTTAATTTGATTTAAATTTAGGGTTTTACTTGCTTTAAGTAGTGGGTCGTTCCCTTTAAGTATAACTATGGGTAATATTTATTTTAAATAAAATGTTATTTATTTTTTATTTAAATATAATGAAAGATGGGCGCTTTAATCAGTATTTACACTTTAAATGTGTAATAAGGTAGGTTTGTACAAAAAACGAAATATTTATAGAAATACATTCATATATTTATTTTAGTAAAAATAACAAAGTGGTAACTCTATCAAGACAGTAGTTACTGCAGTAGGAACTGCATCACATTTTCGATTCGAAATAAGCGTTCTAGCGTTGAGTAAGAATTAGCAAAAAATGGCCCCAGACCGTTTGCAACAAGACTTCAGCTAAATCAGCCTAAAACCGTCTTTTAATGAAAGATCCATGTCGTCTTTAGCACACAAAATTAAAAAATACACGTTGTGGTCACGTATCACCCAGCAAAATGGTACCTTAGGTTGACTCACGTTTGCATTTTATTTAATAAAAATAATTATACTCTCAAAAATATTGTTATTTTGGCAAAGACGAATTGCTTTTTGTTCATTCAAATGGTACTTGTCTCAAAGTAATCTAATGTTATAATAATTATACAAGTATAATTTAGTGGTATTGCAATAGTTAATATATTTAATTGAAATCTTATTTGAGTTTTTAATTGATAAATTATATGGATTTCCAAAGAAAATATTTGCACTTAATTTAAGAACAATCATATTTTTTATTCTTTGATAAAATAAAAATACTTAAAATAAATATTGAAAGAGTTAAAAATTAACATTAAGCAAATACTCATGCTAATGAATAATAAAGTATTCTTTTTCCAAGTAAATTATAATTGGGTTAAATATAACATTATAAGTATAGAAATATTTTTGGATATAGAAATGTATTTTTTCCGTATACTATGCTCCACACGTCAAAGTCCCACCACGTGACCACGTACGGAACGCAGTCTTTTGAAAATTTGGCATTTAAGGCTTTTCAGGTTATGTATCCGTCAAAGTATAGTCAATAAAAGAAATAATATTTATAGTGTTACCGCTTATATTTAAGCGTTAAAATTTTATAAATCTTAAAGTATCACAATAACAATGGTTGGTTTAGGAATTTAGGAATATAAATACTGCATTTAATGAAATTGTAAGGTGCAATATAAGTGATATTTTTGTGCATTGGGTCTACATTTCTCCATAAAATAGTTTTAACTAAACAGGATTTATTAAAAAAAATCTAACTTTTCTATTATGAAATAAGAATATCTGTATCAAAGGTAGGTTAAAATATTAGAACAAAAAATATCATATAATTTTGTATTTTAAGGTTAGAAAAATCTATTTTGACCAAAATAAATCAGTGGATTATTTGGAAGAGTGTGTTAATATGGTCATAAATAAATATAGGTATACTAAATAATTGTTGAATATGGTTCAAATTAAATTGAAGCTTTTATACTTCTAACGACAAAACTTGTGCATACCTCTCTGCATACCTACTTTAAGTTGGATTATAAGAAAACAATAAATTTTTAGAGAAACTTGCAATGTGAAAATATTTAATACTCCCATGACATGTGATTTATTAAAATATTAAAGTTATAATGATTCTTCGATGTAGATCAAATTCAGTCAAAGCTTTTTAACTATTTGTATTGACAAAACTTTATGTAGGTACCAAAGAAGGTACACTTTAAGCTAGATAAGAAAAACTACCACATTTTTAAATACCATATTATACTGTCTTTTAAATAATTCAAAATACTTATTTATTTTGGTCAAAATAAATTTTTCTAACCTTAAAATTACCAAATTAGATGATATTTTTGTTATAATATATTAACCTACCTTTAATACAGATATTCTTATTCCATAATGGAAAAGCTAGATTTTTTTTAATAAATGCAGTTTAGTCAAAATTTTATAATGAAGAAAACCAGATATTTGGACCAAATGCACAAAAATAATACTTATTTGGCACCATACACTTTAGAATTTCATTAAATAGTATTTATATTCTTAAATTCTTAAAGCATCCATTGTTATTGTAATGTTATAAAGATTTATACATATTTAACGCCTAAACATAATATTATTTCTTTCGTTGACTATACTTTGACAGATACATAACCTAAAAAGCCTTAAATGCCAAATTTTTAAAAGACTGCGTTCTGTACGTGGTCACGTGGTGGGACTTTGAGGTGTGGAGCATAGTACATCGCACATTCACATCTATTCCGTTGTTTTGGATCACCAATTAATTCTGGTTCAAGTGGTGTTAAATCAGGATACCGAGCCGGCCATTAGGTCTAACATCCATGTGCGGGCGGTCCATCTTGTTGAAATATTACTTTCATGTCATGATTAGCTTGAACTATATCTTGAATCATTGAATGAATTTATGTTTGAAGCATGTTTAAGTATGTTGAATTTCCTTCCAAAAAGATGGGTCCTATACAATATGGTTTTCCAGATGTCTCGCTTATACATTGAATGTTTGTGGGTACTGGGTATCACCTTTACGAAAAACATGTAAACATCTGACCAGTAACATCCATATAGTTCCTATATGCGCGATTAAATAAATTGTTTGCAATAAATATTTCGTATATTCCCCATTCAAAAGAATGATCGTCTTAAAACAAGACTTTGCAATATTTGAAAGCAAGTAAAGCTAATTATTTTGTTGAAGAATTTCATATATTTGATGTTAAAGTAAATAAACATATTATATATTTTAATTTAATATATCATAAACTTTTAAGTAATTGAATACGTTACTTTATGAATATTGCTCTGTTTAAAATGAATGTTTTCATATGTTCAACATAATTATTGGCAATAGTCTTAAAAAAGTATAACAGCTTTAAGATATACTTGTAAAAAAATATATAAAATATCTTTTTAATAAATCAAAGATTCAGTTAAAATAAATTACTAAATTAAAATATTATTAATTTAAATATAGTACCTTTCCATTTAGT